TATACACGTAGCGCGAGAAAATTCTCCCGAGAATATGACGTCGTTGTCTCTGATTTGGAGCGAGCGTCATGGGAATACCTTGCGGCTTTTGATTTCATTTTAAATATCCCCCATACCACCAGCTGTGCTATGCATAACAATAGTGCTGCAATATTCTACATGAAGCGGATACGGGAAACGCCGTGATGGTGGAAAAAAAAATTAATGTAATAAGTACAATACATTAGTGGAATGAAATTGACGTTGAAGCGATGCAATTCAATCACTGATTTTCTTTTTTATTCTACTGAAAAATGCGGTGACAAGGGAAATCCATTAAAGCATCAATAATTTACACGTGGAAATGACAGAATCTCCGTCACTCTTTCGCCTCCATTCTAGGTTCAGTGTATACCGAATGCAACGTAAAAAGGAAATCTCTTTGGGGATTAAAGCGAATGGTATTGCTGAGGCTTCGACCGATAGATTTTACCTCTTTTTCTTTCTTTCACTTTATTCCTGGAGTCGTGGAAGCGATCTATTTGGTTGAGGCTCTCAATGTGATTGCCGTGTGCACGTTGCCTGGCGCCTGAATACGCAGTTGCAGGGAACATTATCGGGGGGCCCCCGGTAGCCGCTATCGGCTATGTACTTTGCCCCCCCCCCCCGGCTCCTCTTGCCGCGCTTCATGGCTGTTTTCAGCGCGTAGAGTCGAACGAAAAGGGCGCAGGACGAGGTGAGGGCTACCGGGTCGAGGGGGAGTGTCTGCGGGTGCATTACGCTGATTGCTGCTCACAGCCTCTGGAGAACACAGCTAGCAAGAGCATTTCACGTTGGTGTGGGGTGCATCGGCGTGCCGATGAGCACCCGAATGACCCCCACCTTCACTCTCTTTCTATCTCGACGACTGAGGAGAAAGGAAATAAGAGCCCCCCCCCGTTCCGGGCTTGCGCGGAGATGCAAACTCCTCTCTTTTCAATTTCTTTTTTTTTCGTCTTTTCACACTGAGTGAGTACACACGCTTTTGCACGGATTTTAATCCCTTAAATGAGTGGCGCTGCTTTTATATCTTTATAAATGAAACGTGTATGCGGAATAAGTTTTTCGCTTTTTCGGGAATAAATTATCTTTGAGTTTTTGTTGGGTTTCGGGGAAGAGCGCGGGGAGTTTTTCAAAATCGCAGGGGTCTTTGTTAATGGAAAGGCGTGAGGAAAGGGATAAAATTGGGGTCTGATTTTTTTTCAGTAATGCGAATTGTCAAAGCAATAGGACACTCAATTTATGATGATGCAGAGATTGTTGTTATCTTCTCTATAATAAAAGGAAACCAATAAGACTGGTTCTTATTGTTCACTGAATTTGTTCGGTATTCAGTTCGAAATGATGCGCAAAAATTGGGGTCAATTATTCAATGGCCATCCTCCTGATTAATTATATTAGAATGGGGGATTGTATTATATTGGCGATGAGACCAATAAATCGTTTGATCGATCTATCGTGTTGAGGTGCGTGCGGAGCGCCCATTCGATCTCGTACGCATGAATATAACTAATTGAGGCTTTTTGTAATTTATTTTCCGGAAGTTACTGCAGGGGGAAAATATGAAAAAATATTCAAATTGAAATACATAGTGCGTTATTAAAGTATGATTTTTTTCAGGTTTTTTCGCATCTTTTTTCTGATTATATTCTGAATAAATGATTCAAAATATATCGAATGATTCCAAAAATCTGAAAAAATTCATGCTTACAATGATTTATGATGTTAAATATGTTATGATGTTCATGTTAAATATTACCGATTTTTCGAATTTTTCACCTCAGTCAATTTTGAGAAAAAAATTCCAAAAATCAAGCCATAGAAATTTTCAAAAAACATCATTTAGGTATATTTATGCGCATATTATTTATGTGTGAACCAAAATCTGAGCCAGTCTGTTGAAAATTGCGTCATGAGGGCACTTTTGGAGATTTTGTTCCGTTAAAATTTCTTTCTGATCAACAAAATATGAAAACCCAATTTTTTCTCATCTTTTTACATGAAAACTGAAGCAGTAAAGTGACCAGCACAATAAATGCCCGCGGCGATTTCGAAATTTCAGTGTAGTCTCCTCTTGAAGGGGCTGAGAGGGAATATCAGACCGTATTTACCGATTTCAGGTCGGTTAGTTGTCGTCGAGAGTGATTAAGTAAAATAGTTTCGCACGTGACTTCAATATTAGTTCATTACCTCGATCGGGGGGAAGTTTAACAAAGGAAAGAAGTACGTGCGGTTCGCGTAATTATTGATTTCCCGAACTTTTGTGGAAACTACGGGCATTTGTTACTCCGTGACTTGTGGTTATGGGCTGCACGGAGATGTAAGCGTCATCCTTGAGGTGGCGAGCGGGTGGGAGGAGGGGAGTAGGCAAACGTGCGGGCATCCAACAGCGCCAAGTGGTGGAAATACGATTGTAGTAAGACTTGTTCTGGACGTTTTTCTTGGACGAGTTTTTATTATGTACTTGGTTGAAATAACAGTAGTCATTTTATCACACTGGAGGAATTCTTTGGATTTTAAGTAACGACTACGTGTGCATTTCCAATTTTATTTCTGAAAATAAAATTGTTTTGGCGTTAATATTGGCTGAAATTTCAAGGAATTGATTGAAAAATCAATGAAACGGCAAAGTTTTGTTGAATTATCCCATGATAATTAATAAAAATAAGGAAAATTCAGAGAAACATATGCTTGAATTTTCAAATAATTAAAAATCCAGACATGTTAAGGAGTTTGCGTTTTCCGCTGCGTAAAATGTTTTACAAATTTCAAAGAAAAAATGAATTCAAGTTTGGAAGTCCATTGAATTCTCAATAAAATTGATTGTCAATTTCATTATTTTTCAAAATTTTAAATTTGTTCTAAAATTGTAATTCATTACCAAATTTCTACTGTTTTTACCAAAAATCCCAAAAATAAAGCTTCCAAAAGCAGAAATAAATTCTCAAGGAAACTAAATCTGATATTCCCTCAACGGAAATGTATGGTACAGGTGAAATTCCCCCGACATTGTAAAAACAATCGAACATTTTCACCCTAATGCCACAATACAGAATGTGTCTTGCTATACAAATCCACTTTTCACTAGAGTACATGCGAAAATGACAAGAGTGTACACGTGAATTGTGGCGGTGAATCCTTGTCGAATCCAATCGCCGTACACCAATGTATACACGTGTATGCCATACGAGAATGACGGATGCATTGGGTGAATGACGTTTTTCGATGGGCATTCCAAAACGTGATCCAATCTGGTTTGAACGCATTATGGATTCGTGCAGTCTGTTTCATCCACTTGATCTCACTCCATCAATATTTGCTGGAGAGCATCACAAAAGAAATAAAAATATTGAATTTCATATAACCACGTAGAAATAACTGGACTCTGTTTTCATTTCGAAAAATATTGCTCGAGTCATATATATTTATCATGACGTTCTGAACTTTTTCCTGAATAGAATGAACCATTTGTTGTTTATTGACACATAAATGACTTGAGGAAATTAATTCAAATAATTTAAATGCAATAATCCTTCATGATACGCGATCAAATAATTGGAAACATGAATATTTACTATCGAATTACATTGAATTCTCAATTGATGAAAAATTCCACAAAATCTTTACCTGAATTTTCCTGATTTCTAGTAAATTTCATTAAATAATTGAACACGAATTTGCAATCTCCATTAATTTTTCATTTCGCATTATGCATTCGTGCGGTTTGCTTCATCCAGATAATCTCACTCCATCAATATTTGCTGGAGAGCATCAGAAAAGGAATGAAAATATTGAATTTCATATAACCACGTAGAAATAACTGGACTCGGTTTTCATTTCGAAAAATATTGCTCGAGTCATATATATTTATCATGACGTTCTGAACTTTTTCCTGAATAGAATGAACCATTTGTTGTTTATTGACACATAAATGACTTGAGGAAATTAATTCAAATAATTTAAATGCAATAATCCTTCATGATACGCGATCAAATAATTGGAAACATGAATATTTACTATCGAATTACATTGAATTCTCAATTGATGAAAAATTCCACAAAATCTTTACCTGAATTTTCCTGATTTCTAGTAAATTTCATTAAATAATTGAACACGAATTTGCAATCTCCATTAATTTTTCATTTCGCATTATGCATTCGTGCGGTTTGCTTCATCCAGATAATCTCACTCCATCAATATTTGCTGGAGAGCATCAGAAAAGGAATGAAAATATTGAATTTCATATAACCACGTAGAAATAACTGGACTCGGTTTTCATTTCGAAAAATATTGCTCGAGTCATATATATTTATCATGACGTTCTGGACTTTTTACTAAATAGAATGAACCATTTGTTGTTTATTGACAAATAAATGACTTGAGGAAATTAATTCAAATAATTTAAATGGAATTAATCAATTATCGACTTTAACTCAATTAAAACATTTCCATTGGAAACATGAATATTTGATATCGAATTACATTGAATTCTCAATTGATGAAAAATTTCACAAAATCTTTACCGGAATTTTCCTGATTTCTAGTAAATTCCATTGACTAATTGAACACGAATTTGCAATTTCTCCATTAATTTTTCATTTCGCATCTCACTCCATCAATATTTCCTGGAGAGCATCATAAATGGAATAAAAACATTGGAATTCAAATAACCCCATAAAAATAACTGAACTTTATTTTTATTTCAAAAAACATTATTCGAGTCCTCCATATTTATCACGACATTCCGGACCTCTTTCCAATACGCTGAAGCATTTGCAGTTTACTACTAAATAAATAACTTGAGAAAATTTCGTGGTCGAAATAAAAATATTGAAGTCTTCATTTAGATTGAGAAAATATTTCGTGATTTCTTGATGAAATATTCCTCAATATCGAACGTCGCTCTCCTAAAAATTACTCCCAAACTGAAAAAAACTATCCAAATAATAATCATTCCTCGACGCATTGAAATGTTTTTTCAGCCCATCGGAATGCACCTCCAGAAATACGAATGGGTGGGCTCCCCGGACGTTGGTGACTGTTCGCTCTGGGTGCGAGCAGCAACCCTTGAGTTCGACGATGGTCTCTGGCAGTGTCAAGTCACAGCGGGTGACTTCATAACACAGGATGCATTAGCCTCAGAACCAGCTCGACTCGTTGTACGAGGTATGAAATAAATCCCCCTAAAACCATATAAATCCTCGTTTGCAGTGTATTTACGCCACAGCATGGGAAAAATAAAAATTTCAAGCTCATCGATTATGCGTCTCGAGGGTTTCCAGGGTCGTAAACCGTTGGTGGACGTTGATCGATTGCCAGGATCGAGAGTGCGACGTACACGACCCTCGGCGTTGTCAATAAATCATTAATTATTCATAATATACGCGGGGGTGGATATCACATTGTCTTTCTCTATTACTCTTGGCACGTAGGCAGGGGTTATAGAGGACACGAGAAGACCCGTTGAATAAAGGTTGATGAGGTTACGATTGGACGTAGGCACCAGTGTGTCACCACAAAAGTATAGATAGCTGCCCCACAGACTGACGAATTGAAAGGATAGAGCACCGAGTGCGGAAGGGCAACGCGAATTACGAATTAATCATCGCTAATTGTCTCATTCCAGTGAGCCCTCATCGTCCACAGATAGAGTACGCCGGTGCAGTAATTCTACCCGGTGGAAATGTGACAGCCCGAGCAGGTGAGATTGCAACGCTCACTTGTACGGCCCGATATGGCAATCCTCCGCCTCTAATTAAATGGTTTGTAATTGATAAACGTTATTGTTCTTTACTGTTTAACTCATAAGCTCTGGCTGATGAATACATCTTCTCGTTGAAACGAACTTCTGTCTCAGCTCCTGATAACCGCTGCCCAGGTGAATGGCCACTGGGAAAAAAGCTTTGTTTAATCGGTCGGTTGCAGGTAGAAAATGTAAATAAAATTACAAAACTTCATTGATTGAAGGACGCGTTTGCACAGCGATTCGAGGGCTCGTTGGCACTTCTCTTCAGGCGTTTTGTGGTCAATAATTAGTGGTGATATTGGGCACTGACTAGAATGACTTCGATTATCAGTGATTTTAGTTGCTAACATTTGGTGACTGAATCACTGAATTTCCGAGTTTTGCGCTCACTGAATTTAACAATTGCACGGAGAGAAATGTTCAGTAAAAATTACGGAACTCACAATTCGCTCACCGATTACGGAATCGGCTCAGAAAATTTATGTGACGGTATCGTAATTTTTCACAGGAAATTCAGGTAAAAATTACGGAATGCTCTGGAAAAATTCTGTGACAGTTCTGTAAAATTCCCGACAACCACATTTCGCTACGGAATTACGGGAAAGATACGTAATTTTTACTGAATATTTCTCTCCGTGTGGGAATCCCTGATAATTGGGGATTAATGCACGGCCCTTGAAATCAGTGACATGTTCCGGTGACTTTCGTCATTGAAAATACACAATATAATGAAAAAATCTGTAGAAACTATAAATTGCAGTCCAATTATTTAATGGAAATTGATAAAATTAATAGAAATCAGGAGAATTCGGGTTAATACATGCTTCAAAAAATTAAAATATTTTCGCAAGAAGACCCGGTAAACCGCGATTCTAACCTCGCTTCGCTCGGTTTGATCGCGGTTTACGGGCCTTCTGACGAAAAATTGCATTCATCCCACGCTCTAAAAGTATTTTCTGACGAATGTGATTATAGGCCTCACCTTCGGCTCGGCGTACAAAGCCACATTCGTCAGAAAATACTTTGTGGACCTTGTGATGAAAATAACTATTTCATTGTAAACATGATTATTCAGTACCAAATCACATTGAATTTTCAATTGATTGTAAATTCCAGAATCTTTCGACCTGAATAATTGAGCTGAAACTTACTATTTCCATTGATTTTTCCATCAACTGTCTCTTGATAACAATTTCCAAGAAAGCTCCGGAAGATTTCAGCCAAAAAATGCTCTTCAAATAAATAACAAAATTAAAAATATAAATTTTATTCCGTGTAAAATGCGTCATCACTCTGTGTGTCACATTAATTGAACTTAAACTCACAGTTTCCATCAACTTTACCCTCAACTATCACTTGATAAAAATTTGCAAGAAATGTACCGGAGATTTTATTAAAAAAATATTGTTCAAGTAAATTAAAAATGCGACTTTTACGCCCCTGAAATTCTCCTAGATTTTTGGATTTGATTAAAATTCATTCCCCGTCACACTCGAATTTTTTCATCCTCTCAAAGATTTTTTGTCGAATATCTTATAAATGTAGCCACACGACGCAAACCGTGTGCCTCCACTTCGCACGCCATGAATAGTCATGACTGCTCTGCATGTTCTATTAAAGCATCGGCGAGCTCCAGACATGTACATCGTGAAAAATCTTCTCCACGAGCCCCTGTTAATGGCATCCCCCTGTGCCTCCCAAAGCGCCCAAAAGGTTGATTGTAAAATCAAATGGCTATTATTCTGGGTGTTAGTAATATACAAATAATACTACCATGAAACCCTCAGGTGCAACACAGAATCCCATTGTGATGTATAATTCACGTTATTAACGCATTCCTATCATCGGTTTTTTGTTTATGGTTTTAATTTGATGGTTTTGTTTACTTTTTTTTCCACCCCACATAGGTACTGTTTTCGTTGGCTCTGGGCATAGTTACCAGCTGCAATTTTTCTTTTCAACTTCACGCAGTTGTTTTGTTGCTCGTTGCATTTTTCGTTCAATGCTACACGTGGAATACGAAATTTCCTGGCAGACTATGTGCCATTGGCATACCAGTGTGCGCCACCAGTCGTGCTTTTAAATTCACGTTTCGGGTGGAAAAAAAATGAAAAAAAAAAAACACACACACACACACATACACATTCAACTCATACACACATTGAGCGGTAGGCGGCCTCAATACTTTCAGCTTACTCGCATACACATATACCAGTGAATTCTTTCTACTGAGAATAAAAGAGATCCCACAATCGAGCCTCGTCTATCCTGTGAAATCGACTCTCCACGTTTTCGTATAAAAATCCCATTCGTTTATTTCCGAAATCTCTTCCCACGGCCTTCCATCACCACAAAAAAATCCACGCAGGCATACACACGTGCACACACGTACACGCCTCATTCTTGAATATTCAATCACCGAGCATTTAGGAATGCTCGTCTGATTCATCTCTTGAGTGTTTTTCGAGGGATGAAAAAATGATGGAATTTCCCTGCACTGAGGTGATAGGTCTGATTAACACATGAGAAAATCAACCCAAGGGTGGTAAATATTCGGTTTTTAATAGTACATTAGAGTACAAGGGCACAAATTTCGTTTTAAACGAATGTGTAGTTTACAGGTCGAGCCGAAGGCGAGGTCTGTACACACATTCGTTGAAAACGAAATTTATTACCCAGTGCTCTCTAATATTTTATGTCAAGTCGTGCAGAAGCCGAGTTTTGAGCAAGCCGCGCGAAGCGCAGCGTGCGATAAACTCGACTTATTGCACGGCGCGATATAAATGAATTTTTTGGGGTTTAATTCAGCTATATCGCCGTCGCGAACCCTGGGTAATGCCGAATAGCTATAAGTTTTGTATTAGTTCTCCGATGTTCAGATTGTCCTAGTGATGATGAGAAAAATTTTATTGATTATTTTTCGGATTTCGACCAATCAGAGCGCAGTATTTGAGGCTACCGACAGTTTTATTTCGGATATTTCCTCCTAGCTTTTGAATATTTCGCAGTAGTTCTTCATTTTTTTTACCTGAATATTTCGCAGTAGCTCTTCATTCTTTTGGCTCATTTCAGATAGAATCTTATATTTGACAGTCTATGGAAAGCGGGTTATTCTATTAACATAATTCGTTTAAATCTTCCCCAATTCACCTCCTGATGTTGTCCACTCTCTGCTTGGCCAAATCTGATTGGGAAAAATCGCGAGCGCTCGGGATTTTTTAACCTGCAAAACTTGACACCCTCATTTGTGTGCAACGAAGCTATCGGGAAATACCCGATAATTTTGAAGCTCTTGAGGTATAACTACTGAAAAATTTTGTGAATTCGATAGAAAATTACATTGGATTCCTGTTGAAGTTGTATTGAAAATTCCAAATTCAGTTTTAAATTCCACGCCGAATACTGAAATTATCGTTAGTGTCAACCTTTTGTGAGTGATAATTTTTTATTCTGGGTGCCCCGAAATGGCGCGTGATGTGGAAGTGGCAGCGCTGCGTTGGTTGCACATTGGCCATGCCATCGAGGATGAAATATTTACGAATGTTCAGGGTTCGAAGTACGTCGATCGAAGCACCCTAGTCAAACGAGAGACTATTGTTGACAAAAAAAATTGAAGAAAGAATTCGAAAGATTAATTTCTTACACTCATCCAAGTTAGACCTCATAGAAAAATGATCGGAGATGAGTATTATTTCTTTGACATTTTGAACTCATTTTGAATTTATTCTTTCTCTTTATTCTTGTTTTCCCATCCGGGCTCACCATAAAAAAATTACCATATGTTGGACAATTATGAAACCCTTGAATATTCAATCACCGACCGTTTAGGAACATCTCTCGAATGTCTCTCAAGAAATGAAAAAAAATGCTGAAGTAATGTATCTGCAGTAATCCCCAACCGACTGCGAGGTTCTACGGATAATTCGTTGCAATTAATCGTTCTTCTTTTCTGCCCAATCGTGCGTTATAATCGACCTCCCGAGGAGCTGAGACAGGAGGAAATGAGTAGAAGAAAATTCAAGATCTCGGTAACCGGTGAAAAGAATGGGACAAAAAGGGGGAAAAAAGACCCTTATTTTTTGCGACGGTTTCTTGTTAATGAGAAGTAATGCACAAAGTGTACGATTTTCCGCGGGGGACTCAGGTGGCTTTCACATTTACCTGAGGTTGCGAGGGTAAATAGACGGGGAAAAGGGGGAATTCAGGATTTTACATTGTGGAATATGCAAATTGCTGAATGTGCCAGCAGGTATTTGAGTCATACGGAGCTGAGACCGCAGGGATCCCAGATGAATGCAACGGAGATTGATAATCCACGTACGTGGTCGACAAAGAGTATCTGCAATATTGAGGCTGATAGATCTAGGTATGGGCAGATGGTGCGTTGCGAAGCCATTCATCCAGCCTATCCCATGATGTCTTCGAACACTGATGTTCGATTTGATGTTAGATGTGAGTATATTTGGGTTTTCAATATGTGACGACTGTCGTTATGACGAACATATTGACGTTTTCGGCATCGTCAGAGGTTTCTTTTGGGCGGCAGTTGATCGATAACTGTGAGATATTATTATTATATTGTATACAAGAAACACATTAAATTTGTCATTTTCAGTTTTTGTCGTTTGCTTTTTTTTATGTGAAATTATTTCTAATTGAGTGATTTTTAGGTTTATTCGTCATTTCAATTGATTTTTTTTCCAGATACACTATTGAAACAAAATTTAATATTCAACTGGAAATGCAGTGAAATTTTTAATTTTTGAGCAGCAGAAGGGCAATAATTTAATTTTTTAATGGAGACCGATTCAAGAATTAATTCACCAAACTTTTCCTGATTCCTATTAATTTTCCTGGAATGATTGAACTGAGCACAGTTGATTTTTTGTCGAACTGTGAATTTTCAAAGACAAACTTCCTCGAAATGTCATTCGAAAATTTCCAACAGTGGATCTGCCAATTTTTTATATGTAAATGAAATTGAAAATGAAAAAAATTAATTGCCACAGTCTTAAATATAGAGGGAGAAGAAAAATAAAAAGGGATAATAAATCAACAAATCCACAAATGAATTATGAGAAAGCCCCTTTCATCCCCAACACCTCCAAAATGGAACTTTGATACAAAGAAAACGAAACGAAAAACCCGAAGCCCCTTCCCATCGGAGGAAAAAAATTGCTCGGAACATTTGTCTTTATCTGTCAAGTTGTATTATTTTTGTGACTGTTATTTGATATAGTGGACACTGGACCAGACAGAAAGCACTCTCCCAGAATCATGTTTGCACTCACCGGTTCTCCTCCTTCCCCATTCCCAACCCTGTCCATCTATGTACATATACACGCAATTCTCCACATTGGTGTGACACATACTTGGATTCAACCGTGACACTTCTCTATATCTACACTGATATAAATATATATAGGTACCCCTGTCTACTCACCTCTAATCGCCATCGATCTTGAGGTTTTGCTACGTGACCGCTGACTGGGATTCCATTGCTCGATTCCTACGAAAAAGCCACTGAACAAACTATCCCCTGAATTAATTCCGAGTAAGGGAGAATGGTGATTTGAAATTTCCATTGTTGAATTCGAACTCTGTTCCAGTTGAATTCGAAAACGACGAGACTCTTTATTTTTAGGGTGAAAGGAGAAATTGTTATGATAAAAAACGTAAAACTTTTTCATTTGCCAAATTTTTGTTGTCAAATGTTCATCAATTCAATTTGCATAAAACATTATTTTAATAACGTTATGTAAAAGTATTATGTTTCGTATTATTTATTGTTTAAGGAAGATCAATAGAGTAGAATATACTTGAAATTTCTACTGGAACTTATGAAACTTTATCGTGTTATTTTTACGAGATATTTCGATAGAAAAAGTCAATAGATTCTAATTTTTCTATAGAAATTTTTGGGCATCAATTTTTCCAGTTGTTTCCGCTGTATTTTTATTTGTTTTTCATACTGAAACAATACAAAATATTTATAAAATTCATGTTCAGGAATTCCTAGCAACAAATACCAACAGAAAAATCAACATTCATAGACTTTCGTCTTTACAGAAATATCTATTGAAAAACTCACGGCAAAGGGGCACAATTTTCAATAGAATTGGAGCAAAAAACAGATAGAATTTTTAATACAATTTTTAATCGAACTTCACACATTTTCATATGTGATAATTTAAATTATCTTCTTGACTCGTATTGACGTGAAAGAAATAAACTAGTATGAAATTGTTCATCAAAACTTGAAAAAATTAGAAATTCATAAAGCAAGAATAACTTGCACTAGTTAAAAAAAAGAGAGAGTGGCCTTGCACTGGTGGGCTGAACTTTGCACTGCATGCGAAATTTGGACTGCGTGTAATAGAGAAGAAAAGATGAAATTGTGAATGGGTCAGTGGGTGTTCATTCGCGCGTATTTTGAAATCATTGTTACGTGAAATGGACAGCTGCGCAAGCTATCCCAGTTGGACTTTTTGGTTGCAAACTGGAGCCCCAGCTCCTCACCTCTCACATTTCCATAGCCGACAAAAAATTAATTGCCATGCCATACGATTGAGTTATATCTTTGGCTTACTTTTCAATTCCGACTCAATAAAACTCTCGATTGCTCTCTTTCTTTTTCTTATTGTTTACGATCGAGTGAAAAATTTCAATGGGAATGATAAATTCACTGCGGGGTGTTAAAAATTCAGATGCACCAGAAACACGATTGGTCGGAGTTCCGCCTGGACAATTGGAAGAGGGTCGTGATAAACTTGAAATCCGATGTATAGCTAATGCCAATCCAACCGCTGCTATTCTCTGGAAACGTGTTCGAGGAGCAGACTTGGAGGTCGTAACCATAGGCGAAACACTGATGTACTCGCCGATTCACAGGAATCAGGCGGCGACTTATGTCTGTGAGGCGTCAAATACCGAGGGCGAGAGCAGTCCTCTATCCATCCAAATATCAGTCAATTGTGAGTATTCACAGAGAAGAACATTTCTACACACGAAAAACCTCGGAAATCGAGCACTGAAGACCTACATATTTGAAGGGAGAAAAGAGGAACAGACGAGTTCTTCAAAAGGATAAGATTCCGCTTTCGCAGATTGGACTTGAATTAAAAGAAAAATTATATCGATCATGGAATTGCTCATGAATTGAATTTCTCATGTTAAGCGATCACTGAATTTCAATCACAGCCGGAATTTCCGAACTCATTGTAGATTGAATATTCCATTCAATATATATTCAATAGATTTAAAACTGAAAACAATATTCGTATAGACCTAAAAATTGAAATTGTATTGAATATTCAAGAGATTAATTGATTCTTCAATAATAACGCATGACAATATCAATTAGTCGTTGTTAAAAATTCAAATAATAAAGTTCCAACAGTGGAGAATTAGAGTTTTTTTCATTATTCTCAAGAGAAAATTTTTCACAATAAATAAAAATCGTACATATTTGCAGGTTTCCCTGCTCGACAATGTTCTGGAATTCGGAGATTTTCACTCGAAACTAGAAACTGTTTCCATTTGATTTAATGCCCATCGAATACCCTTTGACCTGTAAATTGAACCTTGCAGATCCACCGAAGATTGATTCAGTCGGTCCAGACAGATTGTCAACAGCTCTCCTCTACTCCGGTGCATCTTTCGAGTGTCACGCGGACGCGATGCCCTCCGCCGAATACAGGTGAATCCCCTCCCGAACCTTCAACCTTCAACCCCTCAATGCAAAATCCGCCGACTCCCCGAATTAACAATGTGACTACTCGCTTCAGGTGGGAGCAAGTATTTACGGATGGCCGTCCGCCAGCTGAGTGCGGTCGAGGCCAGCGTCTTATCCTCACAAACGTAACGTACGAGCAACAGGGTCAATACATATGCCTAGCATCAAACACGATAAATGGAAAACTTCGTGAAGTCAAAAGCTCACCGGTAGCTCTGGAGGTCGTTGGTGCCCCGAGGGTAAATCCCGCTTTATCGTTTGCTTGTGCGCGGAGTAAATCCTGCGGAAAAATTACGTGGCAAAAGGGAAAACTGTGAAATGCTCTTTCGGGAATTTTTGCGTAAAAATAAATTTTTCCTCTTGAATTTTGGAAATTTTACGGATTGAAACGTCACTTCCACGCGTTGAACCTTAATTTTTACCTGATACTCCATAAAAATTCCCACGGAGAACATTGATTCCGGCGAATCTGTACATGCAGAGAAATTCTCTGGAATAAATTCTAGTGCTAGCACGGGAAAAAGAGCGCAAAGTGAGGGTCAGGGAAAAATTCCGGTGTCGGCAATGGAAATTTTATTGCGGAGCACATGATTTTTTCCCCGTTCCCCGAATTAGAATTATTTTATTACATACAAAATCAAGCAACTGTATTATACAATTTTTCAAATTTCATTATAATTTTTATTTGATTAATTATCAATCAATAATTCCAGTATTTCAAATATTTTATAAATCAGCAATCAACTTCGCGAGAATGATGATTATTTGATTAATTGAAAAATAAAATTCCGACATTTACAATGAATTGTTTAATTATAATTGAGAATTAAAAATTATTTTCAAATTTAAATAAAAAAGTAATGAACTGTGATTAATCTACGGTAAACGTCTTTTAAAATTACTCAGTAATAATTTTTTCAGAGTCCCGTTTTTACACGAAATTTCCACAGAAATTCCCGGCAGTTTTATGAGAAATCCCAAGAAATTACCTCAACAGCACTAAAATTTTTCATATCCGGTGGATTCACAGCAAAAACGAATGTCTGAATTTCACCCACCTTTTATAGACATTTTTCAGACACTAAAAAACGTCTGAATAAAGTGAAAATTTGTCTGAATTTCAAACATGACTTAATGCACTGATAGAACGGTTTAGTCGAACCAAACGAGACTTTTTAATTATTACCACGATTCGTTAACTATTAACGAATCGCGGTAACAGTCAAGAAGCCTCGTTTGGTGCAACTGAATCGTTCCACCATTTCTATCAGTGTATGTTTAGGCACTTGTTAATCAGAAACATGAATTAAGATGTTTCATTTCAAACCTGAATTAAGATGTTCAGGTGCCTGTTCGTAAGAAATTCAGACAAATGTTCTTTTTATTCAGACGTTTTTTAATCTCTGAAAAATATCTACAAAAGATGTGTGAAATTCAGACATTCATTTTTGCTGTATTAGGATTTTTTCTCATTACCCGCATTAGAATTTCTCGAAAGAACGTCTCCCCACGTAGCGATACGCCACAATGTCGCCCAACAACGTAATTTTTCACGCTCTCCACAGAACTCTTCCCGCAGCTTCTTTCACCGCGTGATATTCCCTCGTTTATTCCCCCACTAAATACATTCTACCCATTGCAGGTGGTGAAGCCACTGAGCACCGAGAAATACGTAGTTTCCACGACAGAAGGCAGTACCGCCCGATTGGAAATCAGATTGTGCTCTAATCCAAAGCCCCGTCTTGTAGCCTGGGAATGGGGCAGTACGCGGCTTCACGCTGGTTAGACCACCGTTAATCTATTCATCAATGCGAAACCCTTCACTATTTCCCCTCAATTCTCATCCTCTTGTATCATTCAAGGTGAAGTTCTAGAATCGAGATACCGAGCACTGGATCTCGAGCCCCTGCCCATGGAAGACTGCTTCCTGGCAATTCTGGAATTCACAACAACGAGGAGAGAGGACCAACGGGTGTATTACGTCATCGTGGAAAATGATCGGGGAAGTGACAGACGAGCTCTGATGTTGCGCGTAAATGAGCCGGGTCAGGTAATTAATCCCTGCAAATCAATTGCCCTCAGCATCGTACAACAGCACCCCCTCCCCCCAGAGATAATTGAGATTGTTTTTCCTCTCCGTGTTTTATCCACTTTGTCGCCATCCTCATTCCAGATTCCCCTAGTCATCGGCGCGGTAGCTGGTTTCACAGTTCTCTCTGTCTTGGTAATGGGTTTCATCTGTTTTATGCGATCAGACAGATGCTGCGTGCCCAGAAACACAGGTCCAACTCTTCAGCAAGTCCATTGGTGAGTGCACATACTTATTCATGAAGCATTTTCTAAATTGAATTTGGAAGTTATCCTCCCCCCCCCCCCCTCCCTCGCCCTCTAACCCTTGGTACTCTGGGCCGCAGTACAAAAGCATCTAATGCGATGATAGAGGACCCAAGACTAACAGTGGAGCCAATGGATCGTACGTCTCAACAGTTCGCCTCGGAGAAGCGTCAGAATCACGTATTGAAACCCGTCCCAACTCAACAGTACCAGCAAGACTGCTATCAGCTCAGTAGACACGAGCCATCGCACGAGTCACACTACCAGAGGCATCTTCATCACAGTCAGGGTCTCCACGGGCCCCAGTACACTCTGCAGGTCAGATAATAATTACCGAGTTAATTAGGGAATCCAGTGAAGTGTTTCACCTCGCAACACATTTGTCTTGTCCATGTAGAATCAGTTTGTTTAATTCTCCAGCGGGTGCTTCATCTCTTCGTTTCTTCACCCTGTTTATTGTTTATATATTCATCGATTATATTGAAATTGCACAGTTGCCAAGTATGGCCGTGAGTAGACTGCTTGCCAGCACGTTAGCAATCCAAACCATCTCCATTCCTTCACAAACTTGAGAATTGCATAGTTAAGGGTTGAAGAGAATATCACGGTTGTGTCGTTATGCCTGGAAGGAAGTATTTGTTTTGGTTACAGCGTGGAACTGGCCTCAAGACAGAAAGACTCAATGAAACAAATTCAATCCGCAACGATTCGCGACCTCGTTACAGGACCTAAGACCTTTAAACGGTTCAACAACTTCAGTCGGTGGTACTGAAGCAACATAGTATTATTAATGGAATCGCTCAACCGAGCCAGTGACGCTCTTCCAGATGTGTAACTAAATCAAAATGACATTATTATTGTTAATGATAATATTATGGAAAAGTGAGGACGATGAGAGGATTATTTATTAACGGTGACACGTTTACAATGCCCAAGCGTCAACTCTCAGAGAGATTTCATTCATTTGTATTATATAAATGCATTTCGATGGTGAACTGCTGACTGTAAAAATTTTGGTGATAATGTGTATTATTCAATTCGAGGTAGTTTTTCTACTCGAAGCACCGAACGTTTATTCACTGTCGTATGTTAAGATTATTCAGGAGGCTTGCGACGAGCCGTATTATTGTGTTCAAATGGGATATCTGTCTGCCACTTCAGGTCTATGCGCGGAGGAAATAGGTGGGGGAAAATTACAGAAAGAGAGCAAGTAATTGCACTGTTAGAAATTTCTTGAAATTTCAGTCACAGCGTCATATGAAGGTCTGATGTTGTGAGATTGAAGTCAATTTCAAATGGAGGGGTTCACTGCATTTCTCATTCATCTTGAAAATTGAAAAAAATTGGGTCTTTCATGCTGAAGAATCATTGCTTTTTCAATGAAAGCTTGAATTTCCAAACTCATTGTGAAAATTGAACATCATATACAATTCAATTTTCAATAGATTGAGAATTAGGAAACGTTGTTGCCTGAATTTTCACAATTTTCACGGTTTTTCAGTGCCGTATGGACCTGAAAATTGAGAATTACTTGAATATTCAAGAAATTAATTGATTCTTCAATGAATAAATACACAGAAATTTTATGTAACTTTGTCATTGTTAAAAATTTCAAGCTTTTTCGCTTGAAATTTCAAGAGTAATTTTCTAACAGCGCGGGGGGAATTTTTCTTCTGGGTCTTTTTTACTGTTCGGCAAGGAGAATAATTGGGAAGGGCGATGAATTTTCTCCGCTTGATCTTAAAAATTCACTGACTGAATTTGTAATATGTTCTGTAATAAAAACTCATGCAGAATGCCATCGAAAATTACGGTAGAGGAAGTTCACTACAGTGAATTCTCATATTTTTTATCTTAGAAGGCACAAAATTCCTCTGTGAATTAATATTCGTTCCTTAACACTCAGAAATAAAAATTGAGAATAAAAAATCAGTTATAATTATTACTACTTACGTTTCGTTTCACAATTACGATAATTTTTCCTCAACTGTCCGTATAGATGATACATTAATTACGTAACTAAACATTCTCCCCAATTCAAGTCATAAGAACCTTCTATTCACGTATATTTCCTTTCCTTCTCTCACACATGGTTATGATTGTATTAATTGCGAACGCTACCTCACGAAAGTTCATCTCATTTCGATAACCGACGAAGAGTGAAGAAGAGTGTTTTTTCGAGAAATTCCTAGGAAAAACGGAGGAGAAGAGCGTGCGTAACGCTCTCCAAGGAGTGTTGGCAATCTGCTATTATTTCTTGCTCGTAAAAAAATTGATTGTACATTATGATATTAAAATGATCACCATCCTGAATGTGCATTGTATCCATTGCTATTTCCTTAGATACCCCGCAGCCGCAATAGTACCACAAAGAAACCCTGTTAAATAAGGCCTCAGTAGAACCCATAGTATAGCCCATTGTTGAATAAATTGAAAAAAAAAAAGCGAAAAATCTCTGTAAGATAGCGGTTGATGATAACTGTGCAGGGGGAGCAGCTGTTTCTGAAGCCAGAGCGTCTTGCCACGTTGAAGCCCCAGAACAAAAAGGAGAAAACACCGCAATATACCACCTTCAAACCCACTATGACACATTGAAGATTTTGTTATCTATTTTATATCGATATGCTTAGGAGAAATAAATGGCATTCAATCAAATTATATTTCTCTATGATTAATTATGATTTCGTTGTGTTTATAATATTATTGAGACCCTCACGCATCAGGAGAATTCCTCCATATGAAATTTGATGAAAAAATCGATGGAAACTGTACATTTTCGTTGAATTATTCCGGAAAAATTATTAGAGGTGAGGAAAATTCTGGTGAATATGGTGTTGAAGTTTCATGTTTTGATTGAAAATTCAAGTAATGTGGGATATCCTCGTCTTCCTGCACCCCAAATGTTTTGGTTTTCTTGAATTTTCAGTGAAATTTGAAATTTCATGATTTTTAGCTTCTCAAATTGAATTCAATGTGACTATCCTGACTCTCTCTACTCTATATTGTTGTGATTGTTTTGATGAAACAATCAATGGAAACCAAATTTTACTTCAATCATTCTATGAAAATTAGTACTGAACATTTCTGTGTTGCTGGGAAATTCGACTACGTTAGGAAATTCTCGTGTTCCTGCTGCTAAAAAATGTGCAAGTCCCCTGAATTTTCAATAAAAATCGGAAATTATAATTTTTACCTAATATTATATAAAATATAATATTATTAATATATATTTCTAAAATTATAGTTTACCCCAAATAAAATTCAATATTTCACCCCTGAAAATCACCACCAAAATGAGTTGAATTTCCCAAAAGTGGCAAAAATCTAAAGAGGAAATTTTTGACATGAGCCATAAGTAGGTGGAAAAAGTATTCAAAGTCACTAGCGCGGGTTTCGAATGCAATTCAGATCCACCGAAAGCGCGCGCTAATTTCCTCCGTACCCTCCGCCGTTTACCTACCGAGAGATGCCCCAGTCTATCGACGGTTGCTGGTAAAGGATGTACCGAAGAATCGGCCAGTAACCGTGCGTCGAAAGCAAAACAACACAGGAAATGACGTCACATTCTGCTCCAAAAAGCAATGCCATCCACATAGCACTACAATCCTCAAATTAACAACAACTTAATATCCCCCACAATTCCCGAAATTTTTATGAACCGACAAAAATCGAGGCATTTCGATAGAAACTAATTGAAACATCAATTTACTCCGACTCAACTCCACCGAAATTCGAACAACCGGAAACATATGTTGACACTGGTTCAGTGCGTTGAGCCCAACCGCCCTCGGGGCACTTTTCAACCGTTCTGAGTGCTAGCAACCGGAGTTTTGGCGCCAACAGACATTCCCAGAGAAAAATACCATTATATCGTTGAAAATCGAGGAACAAAAGTAGGTAGTCAATGAAAAACCAACGTCGAGTGACTGGTATTCTAAAAAAACGTGAGGTTGTGAGTGAAAATACGTTGAAATTGACGAAATCTCAAGCATAACCTCAAAACTGTTTCAGTGCCGCCAAAGAAGGGTCTCAAACGGACTGCCTCATCAGCATCGAGTGATGGAAGACCCTCGAAGGCCCCCAAGAAGAAGGAAGGTACGTCATACACCATAGTATAAATAAAAAAACTCATGGTTTAATTCATGATAACTGGAAATCACCCAAACGTGCAGTCTAGCATCACTTTCTCGTCATTTCCAGAGCTAATTGTGAAACCAGACTTGCGACATGTGTCCACTGCTGGAGTCATCCTGGCTGTTGGTCAGAACGATGTGGGACAGCTGGGGCTGGGGGATGATATTCCAGAGAAGACACGTCCAGCAGTCGTTCCAGATTGCAACGAAATCGTGGCTATCGCTGCTGGGGGCATGCACAATGTTTGTTTGACGAAGGCAGGAAAGATCCTGACGTTTGGATGCAATGATGAGGGCGCACTGGGGAGAGACACGTCGGAGGAGGGCTCTGAGTGTATCCCAGGGCTTGTCGATTTGGATGGCAAGGTCGTGCAAGTCACTGCAGGGGATTCTCACAGTGCTGCCTTGCTCGATGATGGACGAGTCTTCGCCTGGGGGTCCTTCAGGGTAAGGTTTCATGAAGATTGCTCTTTAATTCGGTATTTTTTTAATTTATGATGTTATGCACTTCTATGGACGATGATAGTATAAATAATGGGATGTTGGAAGAGTTTAAACGATAAAATAGTATTGTTTGAACGTCCCAGTATTTATCCTATTGATTTTTTAACTATTGATAAAGTCGTAATGATTATTTTATCATTTTTCTCGTTTGAGTGGATGTTTTGACCATTGAATTATCTTTGTCGTTTTTGTGATGGTTCTGTTGATAACTTTAAGGTGGTGACATTCCACTGGCGGATTTTTCCCAAATTTCTGTGGATGTTGTTATCGAAAAATGAGTCAATTTCTTGAATATTCAGCGAAATTCCAGTTTTCACATCCATCTATTCAAAATTTAATTAAATGCGATCTCAGTTTGATTGAGATATCATTGAATTTTCAAAATCAATCAGAAATTTCATGAATGATTTCATCTCAAGTTGAATTCACATTCACAAAATTGTGAATTCCCATGGAGTTGCTACTCGAATTTCAAAGAATTTTTGATAGTTTCTGTTCTTATTCATTTTCATTGTTATAATTGTAAAAAATTTCAGGGTAAATTATTTACTTAAGTGAATAATTAAATATTCATTCAAACAGTACAAAATTTCATAAATACGAAAAATCATTAACAGAACAACTTTTTGTTAACTCAATAATACAGGTCAATAAAAATTGCCCTGATGAGAATTTCCCTGAGAGTTGAAACTTTGAGATGAATTTTACAAACATAATTTATTAATAATAATTATTAGTATATTTGTAAATGTTAAATGTTGTTAATTTTACAGTTTTAGATTTGTGAATTCATGTATTTCATTTCAGGATGCACATGGAGCGATGGGTTTGACAATTCGTGGTAACGAACGCCTACCAGTAGAATTATTACCCTCAATAAAAATAGCAAAAATAGCATCGGGTGCTGATCACTTAGTAATGTTAACTCAGAATGGTCGTGTATATACGTGTGGATGTGGTGAACAGGGACAACTGGGTCGTGTTGCATCGAGAACTGCTGACAGGCACAATCGTCATGGCGTTGAGCACCTCTTAAAACCAGATTTAGTTGAATTCAAAGTGTCAAAGAAACTGGAATTTGAGGATATCTGGGCAGGGTCGTACTGTACCTTTGCCAAGGAGCATAAAAGGGGGGATGTCTATGTATTTGGGTTGAATAATTATCATCAGATTGGTTTGGAGGATACTATTCCGTACTTCCATCCAAAACTGTCGAAAGCCTTCCTTGGGAACAAGTGGCAGCTCATCAGTTCTGGGATGCATCACACGATTGCTCTTAATGAGAATGGGGAAGTTTTCGTTCTTGGACGCAAAGAGTATGGGAGACTTGGACTTGGACCTGATGCCACTGATGTCGAGGTATTGACTAAAATCGCTAAATTTCAAGGTGAGAAGATTATTGACGTGGCAGCTGGCAGCGCACAGTCTTTTGCTGTTACGGATTCTGGTGAGCACAAATATGTAGAAGCATTCTATTAATGCTTCTCTCTATCTATGAATGAAATTACAATTTTAAAATGCATTTAACAATGAGAATTACTGAAAAAGTGTGGAAATTTAGGCAATTATTGTGTTGCATTATCAGCCTATTCAAAATTTAATTAATTACGATCTTTAATTTTTACACTGAGGTTGATAATTCAAGCTTTAAGTGAAATATCAGTCAATTTTCAAGATCAATCAGAAATTTAATGAATAATTTAATGGACAAGATTGTAAATTTACATGCAGTTTCTGTTCTCGTTCATATTCACAATTATTAAATATGCAAAAGATTTCAAAAGATATTGGAGGAAGTGATAACAATATTTATCTCATTGTCATTTTGACACAAATATACAAAATAAATAAAAAAACGTAATTCTCCAATAGTTTAGTAGAAAATTTTGTTCTGTTAAATTCTGTGATGACAATTGCCTCCCCTAAACACAAACGGAAATAGCTTACACGAGTTTACAAAATTGTGAAAGTTGACTAAAAAAGTATCATTAATATTAATTAAGTGGCTATACAAATGTAGAATTGAAAAAAACTTTGAATTCTTTAGAAATGTTAATGATTCACTGAATTGTTGATGATCAATTTATTTCTGACCTGAGTTTAAGAGAAGAGTCAAATGTTCGTCATAAAAAAGTCAAATAATTTGTGACTTTTCCAGGCCAACTGTACGCATGGGGAATGGGAAGCAATTCACAGTTAGGTACAGGCGAAGAAGAAGACGTTGACACTCCGGTTTTAATAAAAAGCAAACAACTGGAGGGAAAAACAGTGGTCAGAGTGGCTGGCGGTGGACAGCACACTCTCATCCTCGCAAATACTCGCCCAGTGAAGGATAAAACCGCTGGTTAACACTCCCAAAACACTTTAAATGAAATCAAGAAGTGCCACAATGAACGTTTGTACATAACGTTTCGTCGTTCATAGAAACTAATGGACTTGAATTGGAACGAGTGTTTTTGTTCATGAAAATTGATTGAATTTTGTAGTTTTTTTTGTGAGTGGAGTTATGTACACACGTTAATGCTCATTTAATTTGTTATGAAATCATTGGTTGGATTATTGTGACACGATATTGGAAGAAACAATTTTGAGTTAATAAATTTTCTACTTAATTATCAGTAGGAATGACGTAATTATGTGTAATTATCAGGGACTTGGCATAAAATAGTTTTTTGTTCTGTATTGGTCTTTGATTATTTGTAACAGCATTTGTTTTTAATTTTCGCTGGAGTTAACTGAATAACAATTGATATATATTTTTCAATGAATAATTGGTTTATTAATCAACCCAGTGTTAGAAATCTTCAAATTCAACGAAATTTAGTTTATTCATGAAAAATTAAAATTAATAATTGCCTAAGTGGCCATAATTGTCACTATATTTCATTGTTCTATGGATTTGACTTATTTTATTTTATTATATTTTTATTTACCTAAATATTCAGAAATTAAATTAATTGTCAATAATAACGTAAATGGAAATTCCAAATAAATAATTTAGTTGAAAATTCTCGGCCCTTGGCTGGTTTTTGATGAATATCTGCGAATCTGAAGGAAATAATGAAATTATTGTAATGACCTTTTTTGTAGAGTGACTCGAGGGCTCCAAAAAAGTCATGACAAGAATTTCGCTATCTCCCCTAGATTTCCAGATATTCGTTAAAAACTAAACAGTAATTTCCAGAGAGTGTGGAGTTGCTGGATTTTAACAGTAACAATTGAACAGTCTGCAAGATACTTTAAATGCATTTAATCTTACGTAATTATTACATTGTAATAATAAAATTAAGACGATGCTATTGAATTATCACTGCTCTTCTGCTGTTCATTCATGGATATCTGGGTGAGTTTCTTGCCAATTCTCTCGTGGATATCAAGGTACTTGGCAATACAGCGATCTAAACACACCGATTCCCCTTTTCCTAAGTCTGGCTCTGAATATTTTGGTAATATACATTTTCTGTGACACGCCGACGTCATTCTGTTGTACATGTCAGACATCATTTCAATCTCCAGATCCTGGACCAATTTCAATTTGGCCTCATCCAATTGCGGAAGGCCAGCCATTCTCAAATTGTATTTCTTCCCTCAGAATTGTTTTTTATCTCCTTCGCTGAATTTTGCCTCGCAAGTTTCCTCTTTAACATCTCCTCTCGACGCCTCTCGTATATTGAATTTTTCGATACGGCGAACAGGGACAAACCAACGACACTTGTAATTACCCTGTAAATAATTATTTCGTCATTAATTTGCGGAGAAAATCGCATGATGGTGATGATGATAAGTATCTTTCATTTGGTTAGCGCAGGTTAGAATCCACTATTTGTTAATGCAATTGCAAGAAACAGAGAAAATGACAGTATAATTACATACCTACCAGCAAGTTAATATCTTCGATGTTGTCGACTCAAACATAATTCGTGTAGTATCCTAGATTTTAATAATTATTACTATTTTCAAAACTTGTACGTAACATGGGAATAAGCGAGCATTGACCGGGGGAGGGGGCGTTTGTACAATCTAGATGGACATATTCCGTTTTGGACAAGATCTAGGGAAAATGGCCACAGTACGGAAGGCGGTGGAACACATGGGCATGGAAATTTGTGGACACATTCCCGGATGGGCAGATTCTGATAAGGTGGTTAAAAAAGGCTCGGTATTGGAGATATCTTCAGGAAATGTCTTACCAGTCGACATGTTTAGCGCGGCGGCACGGTGAGAGATGGCAGGATTACCCTCGTTTCAAGTGGAATTACTAACTGAATCGAACTGGTCAGCGAATATAATAAGTCGATAAGTTGAATTAGCCAGTGGAGAAGTAAATGAGCTATTGCAACGAGAAAATGTTTTGAACGGTAATCATCAATTTTGGGCGAATTTTTTGCGCACACTCGGAAGCGCCATGGATTTTTCGAATTTCTTCGTCAAGTGAGAGTCGATTTTTTATTCGTAGGTCGTTAGTTATTTTAAATTACTAATCAATTGAGTAATAGTTAAACACTGAAAAATGCATTACATTCATCTGCTAACGAATTACAAGTGATTTACCATTTTGATTTGTTTATAAATAACAGTTTCCGGCGGAAAAATCCAAGATCTGACACTTTGGTTCTCGTGACCCTTGTGACCCTTTGACCGACTTACCCTCTGAAAAAATTCAAGATCTGACACTTTGGCCCCCGGTAAAAAAAATTTTTCTCGAGTTTTTACTTTTTCCACATACTTTTGAGAGTTCTGAATAGCCCGTCGCTTAAATAGTTGGAATCAACGTTCACCCGGCTAAAAAATTTGATTTTGGCGAAAATCGACTTTCCCCCTGGCAAAACCGAAAATCTGACCCTTTGAAAATGTGAAAAAAAAAACTTTTTCAGTTTTCACTTTTTCCACATACTTTTGAGAGTTCTGAATAGCCCGTCGCTTAAATAGTTGGAATCAACGTTCACCCGGCTAAAAAATTCGATTTTGGCGAAAGTCGACTTTTCCCCTGGAAAAATCCAAGATCTGACACTTTGGCTCTCGTGACCCTTGTGACCCTTGTGACCTTTTGACCGACTTACCCCCTGAAAAAAACCAAGATCTNGAAAAATCCAACATCTGACACTTTGACCCTTGTGACCCTTGTGACCCTTGAACCGACTTTCCCCTCGGACAAATCCAAGATCCGACACTTTGGCCTCCGGTGAAAAATTTTTTTTTTCATTTTTCACTTTTTCCACATACTTTTGATAGTTCTGAATAGCCCGTCGCTTAAATAGTTGGAATCAACGTTCACCCGGCTAAAAAATTTGATTTTGGCGAAAGTCGACTTTCCCCCTGGAAAAATCCAAGATCTGACACTTTGGCTCTCGTGACCCTTTACCATTGTGATTAGTTTATAAATAACAGTTTCCGGCGGACATCTCCTGTTGCTCTAGTTTGATTCAGTTTGTAATTCCGCTTGGAATGAGAATAATCCCGCCATCTCTCAACGTGCCGCTGCGCTAGAAAATTCGATTGGTAAGACTTTTTCAGAGGACATCTGCAATATCGAGCCTTGTTTAACCACCTTATTAGAATCTGCCCGTCCGCGAATGTGACCACAAATTTCCGTGCCCATCTATCTGTTCCACCGTCTCCCGTACTGACGCCTTTTTCCCTAGAACGTGTCCATAACGGAATGTGTCCATCTGAAATGGTACAAACGCCCCCCCCCCCCCNCCCCCGGCCGCTATAGGTCAATTGAGTTGATCTTCTTTAGTCGCATTTGGTGGCGCTTCTGACGGCGGGAGAAAACGCAGATTCAAGATGTTGAAAAATATTCACTTGTACAACTAGAGTGATGGGTATCTATCCAGGGAGAAGTAATAAGAATTGAATTTGAATAATGATGAATATTATCCAAAAATTCATTATCATTTCAGAAAAACCTGTTAATCTCTCAAAATAAATCAACCTTCAAACGCCTAGATCCAATAATTTAAGATTTGTTTCTACAACTAAAGATTTATTTATTCCTCCAAAGGGGAATAGCAAACTATGAATTCATCGTACCTCATGAAGAATATCATCTAAAAATCTACTATGATGAGAGAACAATCCTTTAATCTACCTCTTGAAATAAATTAAGCTTAGAAATCCAAGAAACAACAATCTAAGATTCGTTTATCCAAATTCTATTGAAAATTTTTTTTTTCCAGCTGATTCTATTGGATATTTAATAAATAAAAGTCAATAGATTTCGAATTTCCGTTTCAAATTTTCTCTTAGATTTTGCCTATTAGAATTATTGGGCACAAATTTTCTAACTTTCTCCCGCTGGATTTTGTTTTGTTTTGCATTGCAGAATCCGAGTGGAAAAAACCTGGAAAATTGCTGCCCTAGCATTCTCATAGAAAAAATCTCAAGAGAAACATTCAAACAGAAATTCAAAAAGTATTGACTTTTTCTCATCGAATATCCCATAGAATCAGCGCAAAAAAAAAATTTTCACTAGAATTCCACGAGAATTATCTATCGAATTCGCTAGATTTTCTATTGAATTTTGTCATACGTGAGAAGTTATAACTTCGCCAAGAGATCTCAATCTGCCCTACTCACAAACCTAAACCTTACTCCATAAGAAAATAAAAATTATCCCGTTTCCTAAACAGTTCAACGAGCCATTAACATAAAAAAAAATCCGTGGATAAACATAAAAACATAAATTCATCATAACGACGACGAATCCCATTCCTCCATCCCAATAGCTCCTAAAACGCACCAAAAAATAAAACGAACGACCAACCCGACGCGCATCGCCTCCAACAAAGCCACCGAAGAGTTAAAGAGCCGCCCCGACGCGCAACGAAACCACGCAGATACATTAGCTATATAGATCGGTTCAACGACCACCGCCCTGGACTTGTCCAACCCCAACACGATGCTCCCCGCCGAGGGATGAAGGGGTGAAGTAGAGCGTGTGTGCATCTCCGGGATCGTGCAGAGGGCGCCACATGATTTTCGCAAACGGTGGAAATAAAAAATGGCAAAAAAATTCAGCGAAGCAATGAACGCCGGCAGTGCGCGGCGGGCGGAGTGGGCGGTTGGGGGGGGGGCGGGGGGGGGGGCAAGGGAAACCACCCCCTCTCGGTTATATCGGGGGTGAGAAGCAGCANGGGCAAGTGAAACCACCCTCTCTCGGTTATATCGGGGGTGAGAAGCAGCAGCCCCGAGCCCAGGCCATCCAGTTCTGTCGAGCCCAGGGGTAGAAGCTACTGGTTGCTTGTCTGCTCCCTTCTTTCGCTAGTTTCATTTATTTACGTTTTATTTCCATTTTTGATTCCATTCAAATTGCGTTCTTATCATTCGAGTTGATTATTGTAAATAATTCAACCGGAGAATCGATAATAGCGTGAATATTAAAAGCGTGCGGTTAGCCGGATGTTGTAGAGGTACCGGTCCGTTGGTCGTGTCCCCTTTTATTTTATGTTTATAATTGTGCTCAACTAATATTAAACGATCGACCACGTACACTCAACGGTATTGAGTAACATTGTTGGTGTGTACTCTTAGGGTACATGCATTGAGAGAATTGTTGATAAGATATATCGAAACGTAAGGAGGCTTCATCGCCATTGTTAATCTTCTCGCAAGATCACTGCTGATTCGCTCGAGGTGATCGGGCTCCTGGAGATTGAGGCGATACCGGTGTAAATTATTTTACAAATTTACACGGGGTCGGGAGAGCATTTTTTTCGTCCTCAGGTGGGTTGCATGATTATGAATTGTTTAAGATTTATTTGTAGGGTAATCACATGATTTATGAAATTACTGGACTGATTGTTTGGTATTAGGTATAAATATATTTCAAGTGAAAACAGGAATATGCATAACTGGTGCACAATAGGTTAAAGGGGTGGGGTCCAGGCCGGGTTGGACCTTGGGGGCAACATTGGGCTTCAAGGCGTGGCTGGGCAATACAATAACAATTGAATGGTTTTCATGAAAAATTTGGAGAGGAAAATACTCAGTTTTTCGCGAATAATTGATTGCGTTTTCTTTGAGTATTCGAATGTTGGAAGGGATTTGAAATTGATTGGATTATCTTCGGAATTTGATGGGGTAGCGGTCCGGTGACCTGCGAGGAACTTTCGCCCGGTTTTTTCCTGTGGCCAGGTCGAGACCACCACGTGTCAGCTGATTAAAATCGATAATAGAGAGACGAGGCTCCTGATCCGTTGTTATCACAGTGCTTGCTGGTTTCGTTGGGGCACCCGGACTTCGGTATCTGTAGCTCGGGTATTTTTCACTTCCGGTGCCGAAGACACTGGCTGTTCCTGGACCTGCGTTTGTTCGGGTACCGCTCATTGAACGGTGACGGGAACCCGTCGGCAACTCCGGGGCGTCCTCCGTGAAATATCTGAGGGAGGAGATGAAGTGGTGTTAGGGAAGGGTGCGGTAAAATGGACACTTTCTGATTTCTTTAAACGTTTGATTACGCAGTGAATTGTTAATTAAATGGGATCATTTTTGGCAGGGGAAAGGACAATTCTTCCACTTTGTGAACAATGACAAAAGGCAAAAGTGTTCATTTTACCTCGCCTTCCTCTTGATTGCATCATGATTATGAGGGAATTCATTTTTTGGTTGATAAATTTGACGAGTAGAGAATTTCATCGACAACAATTCGTTGAAAATTATTGCTGAATTTTAGTAGGTATCAGTATTTCACGATTTTTCAACCGAATATCTAGTAAAAAGTTGAATGAGGCTACAAGCTCAATTGCCATGGTTTTCTTGCGATGTGAAGAACAGCAATGCTGTAGATTTGAATTCAATTCGAGATTAATTCAACGTGGAATTTTCGGTTCATCTTGGAAATTCAACAAAATTGCGGTTTTTCGGGTTAAGAGATAATTTTCAAACTTGTAAAGTTGAATTCTGCAAGTTATTGCAGAAATTAGAAATTATATCCAATTGAATTTTGAATAAATTGTGAATTCAGTGCAATGGATGCCTGAGTTTTGATGATTTTCAATAATTTCCATTTCCAGGTGGACTTGAAAATTAGAATTTTATTGAATGCTCTAGAAATTTGATCATTCGTCGATAAACAATATACAGAAATTTCATATAAATTCGTCATGATTCTAAACTTCCAGATTTTCCAATTAAATTTTCAAGAGTAATTCTCTAACCCCAGTAAAACTTCCAATATTTCCACCCAAAATTTCACAAAAATATCCCAATTTATACCCAAAATATTGTCAATTTCCCTAGACTTGTTAAATTTTCTGGAATAGTTCTGTTAAAAAATTCCTGAAAAGCCATTACGCTATGCAGTAACTGAAATTCAGCGGTAATTTCAACATTTACTGAATTTGCTCGTAAATGATCAAACAATACAAAAATATTCCGAAATTTCATATAAATCTGTCATGTTCCGAAATTTCCAGCAAAAATTGCATAAGAATATCCCAATTTACGCCCGAAATATTGTAATTTCCCTAAACTTCTAGAATTTTCCGTTATAGTTCTGTCAAAAAATTCCTTTAAAGCCATTCCGCAATGCAATAACTAAAACTCAGAGGTAATTTCGACCAGATTTCCCTCTCCGCTTACAGTCAAAAAGATTTAATGAATTTACTCGTGAATACTGGCAAGATGCAGGGGCGCAGGCGTCCTGGCTGTCCGGGGTCGTGGATCCCGGGGTTGCCGATGCCTCTGCCTTGACTGACGCCCGCGTTTGTTTGACGGTTGATCGGGTAATCCCGAAGGTATTAATCCCGTGAGTTTGTAGTATTCCATGAGAACACGGGCCAGGTTACGCCCCACTCGATAATCTTCATTCAGTCAGGGAAAAGTCGTTAATTAAAGAAAATCCTGATAAATTCATTAGTATCAAACTGTCAGGGTAGAAGGATACAGCTCTCCTCAGTATAGGGCAATAGCTCAGGAGCTCCTCTCCGGCAATATCCGTACATGGACACCTGAATAGTGTAACAATTGACGTGTTCACTCAATATTGAGCATAAATACCGCCTGGCAGTGCCCATTTTATGGGGATCCTGATTGTACATGGTGTTCCCTGACTCGTAGTCTTCAGCGTGTTGTGCCAATAGTTTCGGAAGGACTATGTGTCGTTCGTACCTGAAAAGCTGACAACTGTGAGTTAACAATCAACTAATTTCTATTTTCAGAGGGTTCACACTGTTTTTAAATTTTTCAGCTAATATGTGCAGTAGAAATGTCGGATATCTGCAACAATTTGAGTGACATTTCCCCTCAAATTTCCGGAAATTCGTAATTAAACAATAACAACGTGTGAAAACAAATTTCGCTTGAAAATTTTGTTGGATTTCTATTCAGGATTCTATTCATTTTTCAGGTCGACGAAAATTCATGTCGGAGAATTTCTACTCCTATACGAAAAATTCCAACAGGATAAGTTAAAATTTTTAAATCTATTGATTTTTTCATAAGATTTTTTAGTGAAAATTTCTATTTAAAAAACGCGCAGAAAAATTAGGGAAACACTAAGAGAATTTTCAATAGAAGTTTAATGGGAACTGTTAAAATTCAGTTCAATTAATCATTACAAATGAGAAAAATTCAGGCAACAACATTTCTAAATTCCAAATTAACTGAAAATTCAACTCTATTTGTTACGGAATTTTCATATTCTATTGTAAAGTCTCATTGCGTCTGAAAATCCCTGAATTAACTTGAATTTTCAGCTGGACCTCATCCCCCCTGAAATATCCCATAAGATTATCCACGAAATCTCAATTCTTCTCAACAGTGCATACATTTTACCTGTATACATCATCATAAGTATTCCCATAGACGAATAATCCCGTAGCATTGGTGTGAGCATGAAGATCCAATACACAGTCCAAAGGAATATTCGTATTTTTATCCAACGACTCCAAGAGGGTTTTAGCTGCAGATAACGTCGGGTGAATCCAATCAGAGATCCTATTCCATGCACGATTCAAGTCGACTCCCATCAGAGTGGATCTGAATGAGATCAATAAATTCAATCAAACTTTGTCGAGGCACAATCCCCAACGGGAATGAAAAAGATAGAGAATTGGTGGTGAGGACTCATCAAACTTTAAAATGAAATTAAGGAGAAAATAGAGAAATAGATCACCTGTAGTTTCCTAGGAAGACACCGTCCGGATTGAGCATGGGAATGATTTTAAAAACAACGTAATCCCGGAGGACTTGAGCTATCGGATGTCCACTGACGAGAAAGTCCATGAGCCCTTGACAGACGAATGACGAGGGGGATTCCCCGGGGTGGACTCTGCTAAGAACAGCAACAACCCTTCGGGGACGTTCCTCAATATTCGATCCAATTGTCACCAGCTCCACTTTCCTCTTCTGGACTGATGAAGCTAGAGTTTCACGCTTCACTGACGTACATTTCGTGCACAAATTGTCCAAATGCCCCTGATAACGAGTGTAGGAGTAGGGATAGGTCAAAGCGAATTGATAAACATCGTCTTCGCGATCGAAATTAAAGGCAAATGTGAGAACGTGATGGTTCTGGTGCTGCGCTGATCGGTAGTAGAACACGTGTTTCCGGGGTATTCTCTGCCACTTGGGCTTGCTGGTGCTCTTGACGAGCGGTGTCATTCCCTCTCTGAACAAATTTTTACTCTTGGATACGTTGACAATGTTGAAGATGACTCTTTGATCTGTTCTAACGTTGTCCACGGTGAAGTTGAACCACAGACGGAGCCGAGGGCTGCATGTGTCCGGCCGGATGAAGAGATCGTACTCGTATTCGGAGACTAAATCCACTCGACCGAGGTTTCCAGTTTCAAATGCCGCGTCAAAGCACAGGTGACCCTTCTTAGCTTTGCCGCTGTGTCCGGGGGGTCGGATTATCAATCTACTTACGTTACCGAGACCTCCCTCTGCGTCGCTATCGTCACTGTCTGGAATGATAATTCATTTTTTGCAGAGGAAAACTATTTCAGAGATTTTTATTCGTAATTGAGGGAGAAATGGGAGGCGAGGGATGAATTTTATCTCGTTCTAACGTATATTTTCCCTGACCGTTAGTAGAGTCTATGAGTTTTTAATGAAGAAGTACGAAAAAAAGTGGATAAATTCGTTAATTTTTACTTCCGTTCAGAACTTGAATAATCGTGTTGTTCAGGATTTTCTCCCAAAACTTTTGCCACAATGACAAATATTTTTATGAAATTTTTATATGAACTATTGGAAATTTCGGTAGATTTATTGTATTTATTGTATTAAATTGTTAATTAACGCATAATTTTCACCAGATTTTCTACTCCGTAAGAAAGTCCTGGTGAAAATTGTTATTCAATTACGTTGTTATTATAATCGATATGGGATTATCCAGCTAACCAGCTCGCTGATAGAGACTAGTGTGCTCAAGAGGATCGCGTCCCTCCATCATCCTTATGATGGTTAAGTGATCACTGCCACTAACTGACTGGCTCGGAAAAGACGCCGGGCAAGACTGATAGCACCTGCGAATAGTCGACCTTTCGAAACCCGTTTAAACTCCGTAGAGAGCCCGCACGTTATGCACCAACGTTATAACACCTCGGCGTCAGGGATCGCGTTTCGGTCAATCTTCCAGACCAATCCGTGTTGCAGTTCGTGTCTATGCCTGACGGTTGCACAGTAATCTCAGCCGTATGAGCTGTCAACATTTCTTGGTCATGGCATGAAGTGACATGGCTTCCCCCCGAAGATGTCTCGCGAGCTTCCGCATGAATCGAAATTTATCTCAGTGGGATACCCAATATATCAAATAAAAATCTTCATTTGAAATTTTTCTCAACTCAAGTATTTATTTGAATGAAGATGGTGTAAATTTAAAGTAATTTTGTCATTGAAAATTCGCTAAGTAATTGAAACATCAATGGCAACTGGAAATTTCAGTTTAATTATTCAATGAAAATTTAGAGAAATTAGGAAAATTCAAGAAAATATTTTCAATTAATTGAGAGTTCAAGTCAGGTGGGGAATTCTGTTGCTCGAAAAATTGAAATTTCGTTGAATTTTCAGTAAAAATCTACACTTTACGATTTTTTTCGTGTTAAAAATTACTATTAAACTGTCAATAAACTTTCGACTTAAATATTGAATATTTGAATGAAAATATTCTAAATTTCAAGTAATTTCGTCATTGGAAATTTACTTTACTAGTTTAATTATTCTATAAAAATTAATAGAAATTAGATAAAATCATGAAAATATTTTCAATTAATTGGGAGTTCAAGTCAGTTGGAGAATTCTGCTGCTTGAAAAATTGGAATTTCGTTGAATTTTCAGTGAAATCCTATACTTCATGATTTCTTTAACTTTAGATTCTTGTAAACTGATAATAAACTTTAGATTCTCTTCCAAAAGTGCAATAACATCTTTTCTAGTATCAAGGAGACATTTCTTTGAAAAACCGTGCATTTGATGTGAGTAAATTCTAAATAAAAATCAAGTGTAATAAAGTAACAAGTGTTGTAATTAAATCAAGTTTATTCAATTAAAATAAACCATTCCTCTCTGTATAATGGAAACGAGATAAATGGGATAGAATAGACAGAACGAATGTGAAATTCTACTCCTTCTCGCCATCTCTTCTCTTCCATCGAAAATCATATTGAACGAATGCAAAATAGATTTTATTGGCCCCGTGAGGATAAATCCTAATGACCTCATTGATGAATATCGCTCCCTCGATAAATTGGCCCCAAGTGCAATTGAAAAGTGATTTCGTGATGCCATGCGAAGCTTGCACGATCGCGTTACTCGAGCAATCTTCAGGCATTTATTTTTTCGTATCTATACCATTCGAGAATCGGAATTCTCGCGTGGTATTACTGTGTCAAGAAGTGGGAACTGTATTGGGTGTTTTGGTGAACGAGGGTGATGGGCGGTGTATCCCTCCTTCCTGAGTAGTCGAGGTTTTTTTAATTCTCTGCGCACTTTTTGACAACCGGGTAAAATGGGACAGCAGATTTAAAAGGCAAGCAACAGGAAAGGAGACAATACGACGAGTTAATTAGAGAATTGAAATGAAAAATGGAATTCCGTGGACAATTTAGAGGTGAAGAGAGCGATATTGAGTTTCATTTAGGGGGAAAATAATGAAACGTCAAATTTCACAAAAAATTGAACTCAATTTTTGGACAACAGGAAGACGAGGATTCGACTACTCAGTTGAATTATTAACCAAAACGTGAATATTCAGCACCAAATTCCCTTGACCTTTCCGTTAATAACAAATCCAAGGATATATTTACTTGAGTTCTTCTGATGTTTATCAATTTTAACTAAAATTTACTGTTTCCATGGATTTTTTCATCACACTCAGAAAACCGATTTATTTGATTCAAATAAAGTATGTTTAGTTCAAATCATTAGCGAAGTGGTAAAACGGTGCAAGTTTTCAATGAATATCTCGTAATCTGAGCGAGATAGCAAAATTTTTGTTATAACCTTTTTTGTAGAGCCGATTGAGAGCTACAACAAATGTGATTATGAAAATTCCGTTATCTCCCTTGGATTCCGAAATATTCCTCAAAAACTCAACTGGGAGGTGAGTCCACTTAAACCGCTCTACCACTTCGCTACTGAAATAAACTATTTTTCTGCGTGCAAATTATGAATTTTCAATGACGAAATTTCTTAAAATTTCAGTGAAACTACCACCTGATCAAAAATTTTCAACAATGCGGAATAGAGTAAATTAACAATTAAAAATTAAAGAAAGCAGAATTAAATTTACAAACCAATAATTCTGACATGCAGGATTAACAATATGATCTACTCTTCTGCCCTTTCTCACAATCCCCTATTCTACCCCGCTCTCCTCAACTCGTACATTGTCAGATCTAAAGATGACTTCAAAATGTAAATTTATCATTAACCAACCCCTGCGATAGAATCCTCCACCAAGCCGTCCAAACCCATCAATAAAAAGCGGAAGAGAAATCGCGTGTGTGGATATACCCGAAATACCTATTAAAACTTGGCTACTTGTGTCTGATAACATTTTCTACTCGGTTCGCGGTGAAAAAGGAGTGCCCAGAATGTTATTTTTACAGGGAGAAATCACGATATTATTGATGCTCCGGTTAAACACCATTATCGTGAAAATTTCCGAAATATCTCGCGTGATTCCGCATGCACAAAATTCGAATTCAGGGTAAACGATTCATTCCCCAAACGGATAAAATCGGTGTAACGCACGTTTCGTGATGTTTCCCGTGTTAATATGAGCATTACGAAGAATTTATAATACGTAATGGATCATGACAGCTCAAGCCTGGCAATACGATTGTGCAGCATGAGTGAAGCAGAACAATAATGCGGCTTGCGTTTCGTGACTGCGAGGATAAACCAATCCTGAATGTTGGATTTTCGTGTCGTCGCAGGCGCGAAAATAGCGTTTTCCGTGTATCACATTGGCACCTCATGTCAGCATCGCCTGAACGAAGGCAAAATGTGAAATATGTCGTGCATGGACAAGATCTCACGGGAGTTTGTCGCCGAACAAGTATTATTTTACAGTGGAAAAATTGTCGAGTGATTTATGATAGAATACTACGTACCAGAGTCAGCGTCCGACATATCGAATAAACCCGATGAAACAACAACGTTACTTGCAGTACGTTCAACTTGGCGACACTTTGGTTGTACTCTTTCACCTCACCCTCAACTTGGTGTCCGTTTCCCGGGGTTTGTTGAATCAATATATGTAGGTTTGTGGCAGAACCGGGCCAGTCCCACCGCAAATTATACGAATAGTAGAAACAAACATTCGGGGAGAACACAAGGGAGACGGGAGGAGTTGAAAAAAAAGTGGAAAAAAAGGTTGTGGTAGATTCAGGCTGAAAGACTCTGAGAGCCTTTTGATATCGTTTCGTCTTTTGCATGGGGCTGAGGAGGTAGAATGGCCTCTTCGTGGGGTGGGAAATTAGAATATCAAGGAACTTGATTTTTCTGGTCTTGACAGAGTAAAAGAGGGATTTTCGGCTTTTTTGGAGCTTCTCAGTTGAATCTTTTTGATAAACTTTAGATATTTTATATTTTTCAGATCTTTGCGGTCATTTATGGAATTTTAATGACAATATTGCGAATATTAGCCTGAAATATTGTGATTTTTAGCAGATTTTTCAAAAATCCTACTGCTATTACAATTGAGAAGAGATAAATTTGTCGGAATAGAAGAGAAAAAACTGTCTTTTATCCTGGACTGATGAAAAAAATTCAATTTTCTTGGTAGATTAGTAGTAATTTGCAAAAGAGCGACAAGAGACGGGGGAAGTTGAAAAAGTGGGAAGAAAAGTTCATGGTAGATTCAGGCTGAAAGGCCCTGAGAGCCTTTTGATAGCTCTTCTTCTTTCGCGTGGGACGGAGGAGAAAGAATAGCCTCTCCTATGATAATAGGGAACGTTAATAAGGGAGAGGGGGAGGATGGGATAGGAAATTAGAATATCAAGGAACTTGATATTTCTGGTCTTGACAGAATAAAAGAGGGATTTTCTGGACTTTTGAGCTTCTCAGTGGAATCTTTCTGAGAAAATTCAATCGTTTTAGATATTTGCGGGCATTTATTGCAATTTTAACAACAATATTATAAAAATAGATTTTTAACAGATTTTTCAAAAATACTACTACTTTCATTGAGAAGAAATAAATTTTTCGGAATAAAAGAAGAAAATCGATCTTTTGTCCTGGACTGATGGAAAAAAATTAAATTCTATTGACAGATTAGTAGTAATTTGTAAAAGAATAACATTGAATTCGATTTAAAGAACTGAAAAACCATGAAATTTCAAAATTCACTGAAAAATTCAAAGGAATTCCAACTTTTTGAATAATGAATTTTCAAAACATAAATATTCAGAATAGAATTACCCTCAATTTTCACGTGATTGAACATTGAAGAACATATTGACCTGAATTTCCCTTATTTCTACCAATTTTCAAGGAATAATTCTACCCAAATTGACAGTTTCCATTGATTTTGTCATCACATTTTCTATTTTCAGTTACGAAATTCTTTGCCATCCCAGTGGAACTGTCACTTGATAAACATTTCCAAAAATTCACCGAAAATGTTCATGCTGTTGTTCATTCCCACATTATTTAATAAATTCACTATGTGGATTATGTGATCGTTGGAAAGCCAGTAAACAATGTTAATTCACAGTGGAAAAATGTTTAACAACGTACAAATTTTATCCTTGAAAAACCGGAAAAGGCATTTCGCCAAATATTCAAACATTTCGAGTATTTCTTAAACAAATTTTTCCCTCCATACCCAGCCCCTGTCAATTCTCTCAATCGACAAAGAAGAAATAATGACACCTGCGAGCTGAAGATAACTTCACATGCGAAGAAATCGCTCCTGAAAGAATTAAAAATGTTTAAAGTTATGTTTATCACAACCACCCCTTCGTCCGTATATCAGTACGAATCATGCGCTCTCAGTGGGTCTTGTCCCTCCAGCAAATGTAGAAAGGGTGTGTTTGAAGTACGGGATAGTGTGTGGTCGTTGACGCCGGGGTGTAGTTGGTACGCTTGCTGAGCAAAGAGGGGCGTATGACAAGAATGACCGAGCGCATGCCAGCGATCGATAATCGAATACACCCTTCATAACCGCTTATTCATGTAAAAATAGTTGAAGTGAAGAATTTATTCGGATGAATATGGTAATTAGTTGTTTGAACAACAGCACAGGAATTCGTTATGCCCGTTGGGCGTGTAGAACTCGTCAACCTCAAATTATAAATTAATTTATTTACTTCACATGGGTAAGCGTGGGTTGGTGACGACAGTTTTATAGCAATAGCCGGTGATAGGGAAGAGGGAGGGACCTGTGATCCATCAGTTACAGCGCGAGCTATTGGGAAGGGATGAGAGGAATCAAGGGACCAGAATAGCGTCGGGTATCTGCGGACGGGATGGAAGACCTGACCTTACTCAGCTCCCTCAAAGAAAAAGGAGAAAGGCTGCATGGGGACGTGGAAAACATTTCCCTTGTGCATACGTCACCCTTTTTTACGCCTCTGCCTTCTGCTAAACAGTTTAACCAGGGGGGTAATGTTAATGAAAAGCCTTCCATGCGGGTTTTCCGTTTTTTATCGTCTCACACAGATCTTCGACGAACAGACGATTCCACCGGGTGGTCGTGCCCTCATGAGAAATAAGGCTGGAAAAATTATCGTAGCGCAAGATCACTCCATCATTTTTTACAGTTCTGTTTGGACGTTCGGTGTATGTACCGGATATTCAGGGAAATAAGAAAATGGATGGGGAGACGAACGGGCTGAAAATTTGATTTTTAACAGGACTTTATTTAGAAAAATGTAATAACGCGTGCAAAATTTTGTGGAAGAATTATATAACTCTTATTTTAAGGTTTTTACGATTAAATTGGAAGATTCTTTCGAGGAATCTGCAGGTTTACTGCGCATTTTTCATAGAAAATATTCAATAGAATATATTTAATGGAAAAAATCAGTGACATTTCATCTTTCTATACAAATTTTTTTATAGAAATTCATTGACATCAATTTTCTAAGTTTTGACGCTCTATCGTTCTTCTCTTTTCATTACAAAATCAAACGAATGAATTTGGAAAATTTGAGACGGGAAATTTCTACACAAATTCCAGATATTTGCGCATTAAGAAGACGAGAATTCCCTAATACTTGAATTTTCACTCCAAATATGAATATTGTGCACCAAATTACGCTGAATTTCCTGATTTGTATGAATTTTCAAAGAATAATTGAACTGAAGTTGACAGTTTCCATTCATTGCTCCAAAAATTTTTGAATTTCCAATTCCGAAATTACTTGAAATTTCAGTGGAACTCGGTAGGATACAAATTTCCATGAACTCTACCAGAAATTCGAGCCAAAAATTCTCAGCAATGTCAACGACTTTTTACGAAAATTTCCCCATTACACGTAATTTAAATTCCTAAGTAAAAAAGCTCGAAACTATTCTGTCAGAGCAATTCTCTGAATTTTCACAGACTCATAAAGACGGCATCTGCATCGAGCCAATTTTTAAGAAACAAATAAACTGAAATTCATAGTATCCCCTAATTCTTCCCCAAAATTTCCTATTTTCACTTACGAAATTCCTTGAAACTTCAGTGGACCTATAACGCGACAAAAATTTCCAATAATTCCCCGGAAAATGTGACCCAAAAATTCCCACCCACGTCCAACATTTCTGACAAAAACGCCCCCACAAAGTACCCTAAATTCCTGAGCCCCAGTGAAAAATCGGTACAGAATTCTGTCACAGCGATCCTCGAAATTTTCACACGGTCATAATGGCGTTGGCTGCATCGAGCACCCCCTCTGGCGCCTGCGGCTGCCACCCCCGAAGCCCCGTAACCCTCGCGGATCCCGCGCTTGCGTCCATTAGCTCACTCCCGAGTGACTCCGATTCTCGAACATTTTTTTAACCACCCCTCCCCCCCTGCTCCATCCCGCGGCTCGCGCATCTCTCCCCGTACGGCCGAGTTTGCGCATATCATAGGGTGGAAAAACCCCTTCACCCAGCGTCTCTGTCCTCCTCAGTCCTGCGATAACCCCTGAAAATCCCCATTTTTCCGTCTCCCTCTCGGCTCGCCCCGTCGAAGGGAGGTTTTGCGTTGACTCCTCGAACCGGCGCAATAGCTCCAACTGGGTGCAGCCGCCCGGTCTTGCTCCGCTATCGCCAGTTTAGTTACCGCACCACATAAGGCATTGCGTTGTAGACACCGTTACCCGCAATATTATTACCTTTCTTAATTAATTAATTAATCAATCCGTTCTGTCGTTTGTTGAACCTACTCCTTCATACTTATCAACACATGTATACACATATCTCCATATATCTGTATACACTGTAACCGGGATTATAGTAATCACAGAAGCGAGCAACGTTTCGTCGTCCTCTGCCTCGTTTCTGTCGCGAGTTTTATTGGAAAATTACGTTCTCCTTGGTCCCTCCATTCCCCTAGAATTTTCCTTTCAACTCAATACCGAAACAGAAAAAAATCATTATCACCCCCGTTATCCCTCCCCACCCTGAAACGAAAACACGCAAAAAGTATAGATATACATTGAGAGCCGTATCACGCCGCTCGCGGGTCTGTATATTCACCAAAAATATTTCTTCTCCTTGTACTTTTCAACGGGAACAAAGAGGAAAGAACAATACTGCGCACAAATGTAGTTATGGTGCTGGCTATCATATAGCTTTATGAATTAATAAAACCATTGGCTCGTCAGAGCACACGTCAACTGGAAGATTTTGTGGTGTCTTGTCAATACTATTAACATGATCAATTGATTTACTCATTTTACCAGTCTTTCCAATTAGTTTTACTGTAGCAATCGTTCACGGCGTGAGACGACGTTATCATTAGATTATTGTTTGGATAATTGAGAGATACCGTTTTTAAAAATAGTAAATACCCATCACTGCGTTCCGTTCTACGCTAGTTCAGCATCCTCCAACCACTGATTTTCATCGTTAACCGGTATGTTCATTTTTTTCTTTACTTTGTGTTCTGTATCTGCCTGATGAATTTTATATTTATTGATTAATTATTATTATTACATTTATCAATTCATTGAAATGATATGGTTTATTATTATATGATTATGTACGAGTTGAGTTGATTGAGTTGATTATCGATGATCCCAATGAATTTTTTGGGAATTCATCAACGCATTATATGTTTTGGTTCTGTTGACCCTTCTTTAATGGCTTGACCGAGCGTCGCTGATGTGTTCAGCGGGGATAGGCATCCTGAATTTAAATGAAGGGGTGTCTGGATGCTCAATCAATAAGACGAAACACCCTGGCAAAAATTTGACATTTTTCGCAGAGAAAAATAAAGTTCTGGTTTTTTATTACAATTTCTAGAGAAATTCCGCAAGGTTTTCGCTATTTTGTAGCGAAATAATTCTGAATATTGGGGATTTTGTCTCTGAATTCCTGGAAATAAGGAGTAGATTTGTAAAAATTGTGAGTCACTTGTTAAAAATTATGGAACACGGCCACAAAAGCTGAACCTTCTTTTTTTCTGCGCCTCAAACAATGAATTTCAAGTATTAAATGGTCCTCGTCGTTGGAATACGATAATTCACCACATTTTCCGGAAAATCATTATTTGTCATTTGCCAGGGTGTGGCATTTCGTTGAACGCAGAGCGACGACGCCGACTCCGATGTTGACGGAGGACCCCAGCGCGACCTCGTCGCTGCCACCCCCATCTCAACCAACAAAGCCCATACAGTCCTGAAAAATAATTGAACTTAAAGAAATATAATCCCCAAATGTTCATCACCCAGAGCCCGGCATTCTTCTCAAGTGCCACGTGAAAGTACACGAGTAAAAAAAAATCCCAGCAAAGATGAAAACCTGTAGTTTGACGGTTCATCGGAGTCGGCACAATCTCCTCCCCCAGTTATCCCATCCCAAAAATTCCACAAGTATTGTCACAATGGCGATGGTGGGTATGCCGGGGTGCGAGCGATCGAGAAAAAGATGTAAAAAAAAAAGTTGAAAGAAAAATGAAAAAAAGGAAACAAATACTGACGTAAGTAGTACATCGCATAACCTGCCTTATGTTTTGTGTGGCTCACTTTTCAACTTTTCTTTTTATTTGCATGTTGATAATTGAGGGAAAAATCAATGATTAATATTTTTTTTCTCTGTGTACCTTGGGCGCTAATTACATGACAGAAAAATGTTTTCGCCCAGTTGAATAATTAATCCTCACTCTTGATGAAGGCTGCATTGTTTTGCGGAAAGGCTAGGGGGGGAGGGGGGCGAGGGGTGAATACAGTGGTAGAGGGAGAGTTGAAGGTGGGATTGTTAAGAGGGAAAAGATAGTCGATCGCGGGAGACTCGGTTGTGCTGCGTATTGATCGTTTTCTGGGTCCATGTGTCGCGCGTGCGTGCAGTGTTGGGGTGAACCTGCGAGGGCGAGCCGCCGGTGGGGAGTGGAATTAAAAGCAGCAAAGGGGGGTGGAATGGGGAAGAAGGAGACTGAGGGCTTGGGGTTCATATACCCCTGGGTTTGCAACGCCGACGGTATTTCCAACCTCGTACACCCCTGTTTCGAGGGGTGGCAATCAATGGAGCCCCCGTCGGACGTACACATCTTCGTGTATATGCATCCCTACTTGGGTGTACTCTGTCGCTCTCGTGTGTACTTCAACGGGAAATCCGGTGATGCATGCCTGATATGATGCCGTGGTCGATGCTATTCATGTACTCCAAACATGGTCTGCATCAATTAACCTTTATAACCATAATTTCGGGCAATTTGTCGAGACTTTTTTCGAAAATATTGAATCGAATAGCTTCAGCATCGCGTCGGAAATTTGTCCGGCGTTTCGTACCAAATGGCGAGTGTTGTCCCCGTGGGGCGTGCACATCTTCGTGTACACGGGCAGAATATAAGACGAAAAATTACTATGTATCCATAATTTGTGGCAATTTATTGAGACTTTTTTCGAAAATATTGAATCGAATAGCTTCAGCATCGCGGCAAGTGTTGCAACTTTGAAATTTGACTTGCTTTAATCGAATTTTGACTCGTATTAGACTAAATTTTACTTTTATGCTACCACTTCCAATTTTCACTGTGTTCAACACGAAATTTTTGAGTGTGGCGGGTGTGGTCCTGCATTCTGTTTCTCATATTAAAGCTCATTATGTTGCCGCAGTAAAAAATAATTTCATATTTTCTCTTGATTTCGTGATATACATCCCTACTTCGGTTTTTCTTGATTTTCTTGATACTTCAAATATGTCCTGGATCAATTAACATTTATAACCATAATTTCGGGCAATTTGTCGAGACTTTTTTCGAAAATATTGAATCGAATGGCTTCAGCATCGCGTCGGAAATTTGTCCGGCATTTCATACCAAATGGCGAGTGCTATGCCCCCGTGGAAGGTACACATCTCCGTGTATACACGGACAGAACGCCAGATTAAAAATTACTATGTGAACAGCATCTTTGAAATTTAATTCAATAGTGAAGTGGTAAAATGGTTTAAGTCGACTCATCTCCCAGTTGCGTTTTTGAGAAATATTTCGGAATCTAAGGGAGATAACGAAATTTTCGTAATTACATTTGTTGTAGCACTCAATCGGCTCTACAAAAAAGGTTATAACAAAAATTTTGCTATCTCGCTCAGATTCCGAGATATTTACTGAAAACGGGTCGATAGTCAAAATTGACTTGTACCGTTTTACCATTTCGCACTGAACTTATTTTAACCAAATGTTTACTCCAATCAAATTAAATTCTACTTTTATGCTACCACTTTCGACTGTATCGACTCTAAATTTCCACTATGTTGTATAGAACCATTTCTATCTGTTCTATTTTTAACAGTAAATTTTCAAGTGTGGTGGGTGTGGTTCTGCATTCCATTTCTCATATTAAAAATTGCTATCTTCCCACATTAAAAAAAAATTACATTTGCTGTCGCTCTCATGTGTACTTCAACGGGAAATTCGGTGATGCGTGCCTGATATGATGCCGTGGTCGATGATATTCATGTACTTCAAGCATGTCCTGCATCAATTAACCTTTATACCCATAATTTCTGGCAATTTGTCAAGACTTTTCTCGAAAATATTGAATCGAATAGCTTCAGCATCGCGTCAGAAACATGTCCGGCATTCATACGAAATGGCAAGTTGCATAATAGAGTGGGCGTTACGAAAGAGCACATGACGCTGAAAATCTACTCGAGGGAAACACAGTTCTTACTCTCAACTGTAGGGTCTCTATTTTTTATACCCCACTTTCTTATCACCACTAATTTTCATTTTGAAACGAAACGAAAGTATTTATTGACCTCGGAGTTTTTCAGCAATTCGGGGATTAGCGAACCTTGAAGGGTCACAAATTGGAGACATGCTGGTTTATTAAAGCATTAATTAAGGGTTTGTGTCGAGCTGGAATAACGTCCTATGCACGAAGAGAAATTTTCAGTAAAAATTACGGAACTTACAAATCGCTCATCGATTACGGAATCGACTCAGAAAATTTAAGTGACGGTATCGTAATTTTTCACAAGAGATTCAGATAAAAATTACGGAACGCTCTGGGAAAATTTCATGGCAGTTCCGTAAAATTTCCTACAACCACATTTCGTTCCGAAATTACGGAAAAGATACACAATTTTTATTAAATATTTCTCTCCGCGCGAGATGCTACTGCTGATGCGGAAGCCTTTATTGAAAATTACTCTTTAATTTCAAGTGAAAAGTCTTGAAACTCTCAACAACGACAATTTATATAAAATTTTAATGCATGAATCACTCAATTTGCGAAATATTCTATGAAACTTCGATTTTCAGGTCCAGTCGACATTGAAAATCAGGAAAATTCAGACAATTATTGTTCTGTATTCCGAATTTATTGGAAATTGAATGTAATGTTGAATTTCCGCAAGGAGTTTGCAGTTTCTATTTCTTTTTTTCTATTATTAACTATCATAAAAAATTCCGTTTCGTTGCATTTCCAAAATGAATACGAAATTTCATCGATGACCTGGTCCTAAATTAAACTCAAAACCGAACCATTGAAATTAACGTGCAGCTGTTACTTAATTTTTTTTTTAATCTAACAGTAAACGGAGAATGTATTCTTACACCGTTATAAATTCTTTGAAATTCGAGTAACAGCTGCATCTCCAATGTTGGAAATTCTAATCTAACTTACAATCAAAACGCTTATGGAATTTCTTTCTTATCCTTCAATTCACTAAAATTGTGGTTTCAAATAAATTCAGGATTCAAAAGCCGTTTGAATTCCCACAATTTTCGCTTCGTATACACCAGTATTGGAATTTCATTGAATGCTCCGGAAAGCAGCTGTCGATAAGAATATGTTCAGAAATTTCATGTGAACCAATTAAACTCAAATTAAAAACCCTGAAAATTAACGTGCAACTGCTATTTCAATTACTCTAATTTTCAAGAAATCTAATAATGAAGAAATGGGAGAAGGACTCGCACACTTTAAAAAATTCAAATAACAGCTGCATTTCCAACGTTGGGAATTCTCATTCAATTGACGATCAAATTACTTGTGGAATTCCTTCTTCATCTTGGAAATTTAATAAAACTGTTTTCCAATACATCCAGTTCCTCACAATTTTTTGTCGTATGCATCAGAAATTTGAAACGCCATTGAGTGCTCTATAAATCGACTATTTTCTCGATAACAACATCTACAAGATTTTCCTGTAAAAGAGTCGTCCTTACATTTAGGATCAAATTGCTTATGGAATTCCTTCTTCAACTTTAAAATTCAATAAAATTGTTTTCCAATACATCCAGAATTCATTAGATATTTGACTCCTCACAATTTTTATTGTCGTATGCACCAAAAATTTGGCAGGGCATTGAGTGCTCCATAAATCGAATATTTCCTCGATAAAACTATTTACAAGATTTTCATGTAAAAGCGTCCTCCCTACAAATTTCACGATTTTTTGTGTTGC